CACATGCACGCCCCAATACATTGAGATATCAGGACTTGAAATTAGAATGGCAAAAAGGCAACTTGTTTCTTTAATATGATTAATGAATGATCCAAGTCCTGATATCTCAATGTATTGGGGCGGTGCATGTGAGTTATCGCTAGACACTCTTTCATGTTTAATTGACCTTAATCTCTCTTTGCATTACCAATAATGATGCATATGATCAGTGTGATTCCAGCAAATTATTTTTAGCATATGTAGTGACTGAACAAGAACAAGTTCGTATTGAAGTACCTTCAATCCTCATCACCCGCATGCTCCAATAAATAGTTTGCAGCCAACTGCTCGTTCCTGTCGCAAGCTAAGAATGCTTCGATAACGCTTGCTCGGTCAAAACCCATTGCTTCAAGCTGATCAACATTCTAAACATGTCAGAATATCATAACAGAAATAACATACAAGCATGTATCAAGACTAAAGAGGACCAATCAGCATACTCGTCCAATTGCCTCCTGCTCTTCTGCTGTCACATTTATGGTATGTGGCATCTCATCTTGCTCAGGCTGATCAAACATATCCCTGAGAAAATTTAATAAGCAAACATTTGAGACTTCTGATATGGCGTTATCAGAAACTTCTAGGTAGAATAAGACCTTAATAAACAAAGCTACAAAAATTTACAGACCCAAGCAAGATTACAAACTTGACCTACAAGTCAAACACTTAATCCAAGGGAATGAGGAATATATAAGATTGTTTAATTAATATAGTAAAGAAGACAGTTGCAAGCCTTAGCAATTAATTAATATAGTAAAGATTGTTTAACTGACTTGGACTTTCCAATCTCAATATAGTTCAGATCTCTTCCTTCTATTTTGGTTCTTATTGTCATGATCAAAAGTTTCACATGCCATTATGCTCTAACTATAACATTCCTCTGAACCTCATGTCTGCTCCAATTCTTAAGCATGAGTGCTTTAGCACAAGCACCGGATACTTGATCAGAAAGATTGCCATAAACAGAATAGGAGCATCCTAATTGAAACAAAATAAAACTATTTATCTAACCATGAGATAGTTTTTGTCAAACGGGGGTCTGACAAGGAAAGAAATGAAATTCTGATTCATATGGATACCACTGGATGAAAAAGCAAACTCTAAGATTAACAAAAGTAATATTTTACTTTTGTTATAGCAGTAAAACGTATCAGTTAACAAAATTAAGAAAAGGAATAATATAGATGCCACAGATTTTACATAAGATGTATCAAGTTTTCTGTTTTATCTCTAAATCATCCCCATCTTCTACCCAATATATCCTAGTCTCTCCATTTTGTTTGCCATGCGCCCCCACCCTCATATACACAATCCACCAACAAAATCATAACAACAGTCAAACAAAATCTCAAGCTCCACTACCGCAATGCAGGCACCCCCCATGACCATTGCTTTCATAGAACAGCAACTCTCCCCCAACACAATCCTCATACTCCTTCACCACCCTTAATGTCCTTGCTTGTCCCACATTTACCCATGTCTCCCACTCCATTACTGTTTCTCCATAAATCCACTTATCACATCCCTAATCCACTTAGGCAACATCCATTTCACTTCATCATCCCAATCAACTCCATCCTCGAGATTTTTTTCATCAGCTAGAGAATTGGCAACAACACAACCAAATATTTAACTAAAAGAAAGTATATATATCTACTACCAAGACCCTGGATTTAGCTGATATCTCAAACTAAACTGAGCCTCCCAAACTGTGCTATACAGCATCAATAACTAGATATCTATTCGGCAGAAATTGGAAATTTAGGATATTCAAATCAACATCACCTATATAACTTGCATTAATATGCTCACCCTTCAAGGCCTTCAATAGGTTCATTTATTAACTGAAGGAACTCTGCGTGATGCTCCTGTATTAGTCTTAAAAGTTGAGGGTTTTGCTTGCTTAGTTCCTGAAGCATTGGCTGCAAGACAAGCAATAGTTAAAAACACAAATTATATTTGCAAAATAAAATTTACACCTCAAATAAAAATTCTGACCTGCAAAATCTGTGGATTTGCTTGAACCATTGCTCGCAAGGCTAAGAACTACAACAACAGTAAGAAGTCTTAAAATAGCAAAACTGTAAAATCAAAACCAACTAAAGCTGTCCAAGCTCCTAAGTCCAATCCAATGACAATTCTTTTTTTACCACAAATAATGCCCAACATTAGTAGGTACATATGCATCTTTGATGACCTTGGTTTAAGAGCTAATCAAAAGCTAACATGAAAATTCCACCATGCTGAATTTTACAACATAAAACTCTCCAACATCTGCAGAACAGCCATTTCAAAGTAGATAATTTCCTGGTATTCTCCAATATAAATCAACTAAGCTGTATATAGTGAATCAGTTCCAGAAGACACAGAACTTCACTGATCAAACTTAGATTGAAACAAGCTAACAAGTCAGCAATTCATCCCAAGAATGATCTCGTGATCCACATCAATTCCACAACCGACCTTGAGCACAACTATAGCCTTACAAGCACTTCTAGACCTTAAAACAAAAAAATTATAAAACAATTATATGGCCATTGATGTATTATGGATCCAAATGTTGGAAAAAATGATCACAAAATTAGCATAGAAGAAATGAGAGTGGTAAGATCAATATTTAGTGTTGCAAAAGAAAAATACAGACTAAAATAATTCCATCCAAAAAATCAAAGGTAAAACCAACCAGAAGGAAAAGCATCGAAAGTTGTTTCAACATATGGATAGAAGATAATCATCGGAAACAACGCTGTATTAGTACTAGTGATGGTGGTGGCGGTGGATAGCAAATTCCTTACTTCAGCTATAGGAAATATCTTGTGAAGGAGACCATTTAGAACAAAGTTAATTTTCATTCTTTTTGTTCATAATTTATTTCAACCTGGCATACAAATGCTACCATTCCCTTAATGTAATTATCGGTTAAACTGGAAGGTAATAAAACACATTCAACTTGCTCCAAGCATTCCTTGCATATACAGTCTAAACTAGATAATTCCTGCTAAAAAATTATAGGATGACCTGATATTCAGCATTCTTGAACTATAATTTTGATATTGTATAAATTTATGTGCTTCGGAGCACGAGATAATCTATTTCTTTTCGCAGATAGGATAATTAAAGCCAGTATCGATGTAAGCCCAACTCTATAAAAAGAAAAAAAAAAAAAAAGGATCTAAAGTAGGATTAGACATGTGAGCAAGGTGAGAAAGGATTAAAAGCATATTGTGCAGATTAGCATGCCTGTGGATTATTTCTAAGGAAGTCCAGAGATCCACCTCCAGCACCCACTCCAGGATTAGTATTACCCTGTTACAGTTAAATCAGTAGGCCTTTTAACTGCCACTATACCAAAAGAAAACATGCTCATTGAGATATAGTGTTGAACCTGTGGGAACATATTCAATGGAGCAGAATTAGGAAGTCCAGACAGAAATCCTGGAGCAGTTGCATCAGTTGGGTTGGCCCCTTGACTAGATGCCTGAGACAAAGGGAGAGGATCAACTGGAACTGCAATTTCTGTTGTTGCTGGAATACCCTGATATAAAATTATAACATTGTCAATGATAAGTATAATTTTTTTTGACAGTTCTGCTGTGAAAATATATCAACTGCATACAGAGTATAAGTATTCCACAGCACGTTCTGGGTTGTTGTAAGCAGCACGAAGTGCAAGAAGAACTGTGTCTCTATCCCAGTTGCCACCACCCATCTCCAGCAATTGACTAACCATCTGCTCAAGATTACTCCCTGCAATTAAATTGGATGCAGCTTGACCATAGGTATCAGCAGATACCCTACAAAAAGAAGGATCCCGGTTACATTTCCAAGCATGCAAATGTTTTTAGATGAAGAGCCACAAAAATGTCGAAGAGACAAGATTATTCACCTAGAAACAGGACATTAGAATTAAGAGGTCACTTATATTATTAGGTAAAAGAACAGTCAACAATTAGTTTGCTTCAACCTCTTACTCTAAAGTATGCATCTAAGTAAGAAACATCAAACACAAATATGGTCATCGTAAGAGAACATTCTCCACTAGATTGACCACTAACATCTTCATCCAAGCCTTTCTTTGAAATAATGGGTTGTCCATTGCATTCAACTTAAACTGAGACGAACCAATTTTAGAATCGGTTATCAAATCGATGATCACATTCCAAAGCCAGTGCCTAGTTCAAGAAATTTTTGGCAAAAGTCAGGGTTTTTTTAATCATCGTCCCTGGCTGCACTGGTAAGAGTCCAACTCATACCAGCATCCAGACACATGGTTTGCTGCTATGTGCTGCAGTACCAAGGAGGGGAAGAGGAGGATTACCAGTGGCTGGAGGCAGGTGGCAACACGCCCTAAGGGGCATGGGGGGGGGGAATACAGGTTTAATTGGGTTGTTAATTGAAATGTGGACTGGGCCAGAACCATCAAAATGGGTTGGTCCACAGCCTAGTTCTCCATCAGACGGTATTTACCACGCAGTTAATCCTGGTGTCTTAATGCATAAAAGTCCAAGAGTAGTAGTATTATCTAAATAGTTTCTCAA